CACACACACACACACACACACACACACACACACACACACACACACACACGCGCACATATATATATATATATATATATATATATATATATACATATATACGTTTAATCGCCGCATTTGACAATAATGTGTCGAATATATTTGAAATTTCGGTTTTGGGACGAAAATACGCCCGTAAATGTGTAAATAATATCAGAATCAATATCATTCGTCTGTGATAATCACGAGGATCACAAAATAATTGGCCCACGTCTGACGTCATAGCGAGCCACGCTAGCTTCAACCAACTATAGCATTTCATCTATACATCTTGAAAATACAGTACATTAACGATAGATAATATTTAGATTGGTAGTCAAATATAATAAGAGATGAACGTATAGACCAATCGCGTGCATTTCTGATAGTAGGTTTGTTATTATTCGAAACACTGCGAGTGTATCAGAGCTTTTGCGTATATCGACTACTAAAATATTCGCACTACTAACTACTATTGCTTAGTACTATTAAATCACAGGCCGACCAGCAACAACAGAACGTGTTCACATGCGGGAGCTGTCGATTCACCGATACCCGCGCATCATCGTCAGTGCGCCTCGTGTCGCATTATGAATGTAGGATAAAACGAGGTGATCATATAGCACATGCACATGTCACGAAATTTATCAGGAATCCATAATAGAAAATCTATTTTTTCTATTATGGACTCTTGAATTTATGCAACTGCAGCGTGAAAATTTACGATGCGTCAAATCGGGCCAAACATCGGAAGTTACGAAGCGCTAGTGGAAGCGATTACTCAGTGCGCGTCATTACGCCATGAGCAACAAATCATCTAGAAACAGGGACAAAAGTGCAAGAATGATAATATATAGTTTTATGATCTCTAATTGGATCTCATTATTTTTGCGGGTATATTTGACCGTACATGTTTGTAGGTGACGGAGTGTGTGCGTAAACGTTACCGCTTGGCGCGTGCATGCGTGTCTGCATGTGAGCGTGCGTGACAGTTAAGTGCGTGCGTGAGCATATGCGTGTGTACGTGCGAGGGCGTGCCCGTATGGCTGAGTACATCATTGCTTGCATGCGCGCGCTTGTGTTAACATGTGTGTATGCGCGCGCGTGTGTGAGAGAGCATGTGTCTATGGGCATGTATGCGAGCGTGTGTACGTCTGCGGTGTCTGTGTGCATGTCTGGTGCCTGTGTATGTGTACGGTGTCCATGTGCATGTAAGTGTCTGTGTGTGACTATCCTGTCGGTGTGCGTTTACGGCGCATGTGTTCGGGTGTAGTGTGTGCGTGTGAGTATCCTGTCTGTGTGTATATATAGTGTATGTGTGAGTGTAGGTGTCTCTGTGCGTACATGGTGTCTGTATGCGTGTGAGTATACTGTCTGTGTGCGAATATCGTGTCTGTGTACGTATAATGACCATATAGGATTAACAGAATGCTCGAAAACCATTTTATGTGTGATAGCGTATACGAATGACAAATACTTGTTGGATCACGTTTCTTAACGTGCTGTTTGCGCGCAATTACATCGGCACTTTCATTATCGATTAGGGAAAATACGGAGTAATAATATCGCGTGATCTCTGCTTTAGAAAATTATGAAATTCTAGCTGCAATAGAATGGTTTCGCTCTCAGAGTTAAACAGTGGCCCAGACATGAGTATATTATATCACCATTAGTATATTTTTTGACGAGACATTGATAAAGATGAGAACGTGAGTTGACAGGCTCTTTGCGGGCATGGGAAATACAAGCTTATCGATCAACTTATAGAATGCACCAACTTTTAAAACACGACAGTTGCTATCTAAACCATTTTCTTCGCTTATTGCTGAAATTCAACGTATCCCGAAAGTTTTCCAATATGCTTCCGTGTGTAGAGTTCAGACAGCGTGTGACTTTAGTTCCCGAACGAACTAGACGGATGTCCGCGTCCTGCTTTTGCAACGTTCCGAAAAGACAGAATAGATATATCACGTAATACACGAAATTTGCTATGAAACGTGAGCAAAAACAATTATAGTTCCTTGATAGCTTTTATTTTCTATATGACAGACATTATACCATTGTCAAGAATAATTGCAAAAGGTTGCCGAAGCAAAATTTCATTATGCTCGCCATATATGGTCGTAGCTGATATTGTATCTATAGATGATCGTATATGCACTTTAAACTATTAGCATTTTTTAGTCACATGAAACCTAATAACGTTAGTTTAAAGCGGGTCTATTTATTTTAAGTGGCACCATCGAACGTATATTCGTTTTTGCGACGAGCTAGTAACACTTTAGGCGCGTCACCTAAGGCCGGACACATGTGACGTGTAATTTCTAACTTCCATGATGAAATCCAAGAACACTCCTTAAGAAAAATGTCACGAGAGAAACCACGAGTCTCGTCAAAGGTGCGCCTAACAAGCGTGCATGTGGGTTTACGATTACTTGCTCATTGCTTTTGGCAATGCCGCTATTCACCCCTGTTAGCGGCTCAGGCGAGAAACTCTAAACTAGTTTTGAGCGATAATACCAGAACGGAAGCACGCCAAGGGGGTAAAGTTGAATACACGCGGATAGACTGTCTGGAAGAAAAAGACATGATGAGACAAAGCAGCACCTAATTACCTGTAGCCTAACTCGATTTCCCTCACGAGAAATACGGAAATTGGTGAAAGTGCAAGCATCACCAGCCATGTACGGTCACACTGTATAACACCAGTGTGCGTGCGTGCGTTTCTCATTCTGTGAGCGCGTGTATGCGTGCATATGTGTGCTTTTTGGCGAGTTAACGTGAGTAGGTGTATGCGCGCGCGTATAATTTTGCATGTATGTGTGCGGATATGTGTGCGTCCATATAGGTATGTGTGTGTGTGCTTGCGCGTGCGCGTGCGTGTGCGTGCGTGTATGCAAGAATGAGTACGCTGCGGTTGACACGCGTAGTCATCGATGTTTATATATAGGTATTTTTCTGTCAATAGGTGTAGATATTTCAAACCATATTAGGAATCGGTGGGCAGTCCTGCGTTCATGCTTGGCATCGCTAGCATTCCTTCTAATAAGATGCGCCGAGTGACAAGTTGTTTTTCTCGCACTGCGAAGGACGGCTCACCGCGCGTGAAGTCACCGCGATCTTTATCTGTGCAAACCGAGAACACGCGAAAACATGTAGTGGCCATGTGAGGCCCCCGAACCCACCATCCATCACTACCCCCCTCCGTCTCCGCCATTCACGCAAATGCACACACACATCCGCACATGTACACACACACACGTACGAGCACACGCACGCACGCGCTCACATACACCTACGCTAGCGGACGCGCGCACGCACGCACGCACGCACGCACGCACAAGCGCACGTACGCACGCTCCCGTGCAGTCACACGCGCGCGCGCATCGCCGCCTCCTATCCCGAGCGCAAACGCAGCAGGCGGATATACTAGCGACCGGAACAAATATTGCATTTTCCCATGCCAAAAAAACCGCGCGGACGGACATCTGGAGAGAGAGAGGCTAGCAGCGTCTTGTCGGGTGGGGGGAGGGCGTGTTATGGGTGACCCGTCTCCTGACTTCGACCGTCTCGTCAGCGATGACGTAGCGAGCCACGTCGGCGCGTACGGCGCACCAAGAGGCAGCTCCGCGGCAGGTAATTATCCTCCTGCCTTATAAGCCGGAGGTAGAACCCGAGCCGGATTTGCGCACCAGCATCCCGGCTTGGAACCGAAAGTGTGTGTCAGTGTGTGAGGAGTCAGCGAGCGCGATCAAGCTGTTCGTGTAACGCTCCAGACATCCACGGCTAGAACAATAACATCAACGACCACACGCGCCGTCTAGAGGCCAGCCGATATACGCTAGCAGATGTATCTTACGACTACAAAGGTACGTAACACACGCGCCCAGGCGTGTAACGTCCGTAATGTCCGTCTGCGTCATTGTTGATACGTACTCCCCCGTGTTCAAGAAATGTTTTCAAACTAATTTTATGTTTCACTCACCAGGCTTGAGAAAGTAGTACTACGCCAACAGCATTAAAAGCTCGTCGCAAAATTATTCAATTGGCTTAAATCACGCGTTATCTAAATTACCTTCACAATTAGTAAATAAGTAGATTGTTTTTTTGTGTGTGCTAGTAAGAGGCTATATTATGCTTACGTAGGCCTACAGCCATCTTATGTAGAGTCATTCGGTCACTTCCCTTGCTGTGCACATAATACGCATCACTGAATCTGATAACGTTACTTAAACATCAGTGTTCGATTCACATTTCTGACTCATTGAGTTTTCATGGTGTTTTAATGTTACAACCGCGCTCACGGGTAGTAAAGGGCATGCGAGCGAGTAGTTCCCACTTTAGAGCCGCTCCAGTCTGTTAGCGTGGTGTTATTATGACATTGATCAAATTGGAGATCTTACTCGTTTAAATTCAACATTGATCTCGATCGTATGACCATTACCGCTAGTGATCACAACACTTTCTAACGCAGGGAATGCGCCCGTAATTCGTATTAGAGCTTAAGCTGTGGAAGTTCCAGTACTCCCCGGCTTTACATACTCACACTCACACGATGACTTCTCATGATTATTTACGTATTTATACTGGTTAGCTTGTTGAAGTACATCATATATTATTATATTATGAATTACCAATAATATAATGTTAAATGTGACAGCTGATACAGAACAGTGATCTCTATCCAAACCTTGAGGTGGAGATCGATAGATGTCCGTCATGGAGACCGGAGTAGTAAGCCGTTAATAGTAATGTCAAATAGCACACAAGATATAGCTGATATGTACAACCATAGCAAAAACATATCTTGTTGCATATCTCAAATGAAGTTACACAGGCATGTGAATTTTCTAAATATAAAGCTTGATAGTTGCGGCTGGTTACGTCATTACACCTCAATTAAGTTAAGTGAAAAGAGAGAAGGTGAATATATAAATGACAGAAATAGGTAGAAAGTGTCAGCGATAGAGAGAGAGAGAGAGAGAGAGAGAGAGAGAGAGAGAGAGAGAAATACCGTGATAGATAGATAGATAGATAGATAGACCGGCAAGGAGACAGACTAAGAGACAGACAGACAGAGAGACAGGCAAACAGACAGACAGACGGACAGACGGACGGATGGACAAACGGACGGATGGACGGACGGACGGACGGACGGACGGACGGACGGACGGACGGACGGACGGACGGACGGACGGACGACGGACGGACGGAACGGACGGACGGACGGACGGACAGATGAACGGACGGGCAGACAGACAGACAGACAGACAGACAGACAGACAGACAGACAGACAGATAGACAGACAGACAGACAGATAGACAGACAGACAGACAGGCAGACGGGCGGGCAAGTTGACAGGCAGGCAGTCAGGCAGGCAGGCAGGCAGGCAGGCAGGCAGGCAGGCAGGCAGACAAGCAGGCAGGCAAGCAGGCAGACAGACAGACAGACAGACAGACAGACAGACAGACAGACAGACAGACAGACAGACAGACAGACAGACAGACAGGCAGACAGAGAGACAGGCATAGATAGATAGATAGATAGATAGATAGATAGATAGATAGATAGATAGATAGATAGATAGATAGATAGATAGATAGATAGATAAGATAGATAGATAGATAGATAGATAGATAGATAGATGATAGATAGATAGATAAGATAGATAAAGTAAATAGATAGATAGATAGATAAATAGATAGATAGATAGATAGATAGATAGATAGATAGATTAGATAGATAGATAGATAGATAGATAGATAGATAGATAGATAGATAGATAGATAGATAGATAGATAGAATAGATAAATAATAGATAGATAATAGATATAGATAGATAGAATAGATAGATAGATAGAAGATAGATAGATAGATAGATAGATAGATAGATATAGATAGATAGATAGATAGATAGATAGATAGATAGATAGATAGATAGATTAGATAGATAGATAGATAGATAGATAGATAGATAGATAGATAGATAGATAGATAGATAGATAGATAGATAGATAGCAAGAGCGAGAGGAACATGTATACGGTACATTTGAAGACGGGAATTTGCACCATTTATAAAGATATTCAATTAAACACAATTTATACAACGATGATATGTCAGAAAAAATACAGGAAGGATATTAAGTATACGCTGGTTTGTAATAAATGTCAGGCAAGACCGCGTATTTACTTTAGAACGACATGCAAGTCAATAGGGATCAACGTATGCGCGCACATAGGGCACATGTACACGCGAACGCACGCGCATATAACACGAGTGTACGCTTACGAGTGCACACGAAACGAGTGCGTACGAGTGAACACATGCACGTACACGCACGCACACACGCACGCCACACACACACACGCACACACACGCACGCGCACGCGCACACACACGCACGCACACACTCGCGCGCACACACGCACACACACGAATATACACACGCACGCACACACGCGCACGTATACACACACACACTCTCGCTACCAAAGCACCTTAGGTTAAAAAGCTGGTGAACAGGGTGGAAGCTGGTGAGTGGTTAAAGCTGCGGTTAAAGATGGTGAGCTAGTGAGCTGCGTTAAAGCTGCTGTGAACTGGTGAGCTGGTGGAAGCCTGGTGAAAGCTGGTAAAAGTGAGTGATGCTGGTTGAAGCTGGGAAGCTGTGGATGCTGGTGAAAGCTGGGGATGCTGGTGGAAGCTCGGTGATGTGCCGTGAAGCTGGTGATGATGGTGAAGCTCGGTGAGTGGTGAAGCTGGTAAGCTGGTGAGCTAAGTGAAGCTGGTAAGCGGTGAAAGCTGCTGCTGATTGCTGCCGTAGAAAGTGGGTGAAGCTGGTGAAGCTCGGTGATGGCTGAGTGAAGCTGCGTGAGTGGTGAAAGCTGGGTGATGCTGGTGAGCTGGTGATGCTGGTGAAGCTGGTGAGGCTGGTGATGCTGGCTGAAGCTGGTGATGCTGGCTGTAAGCTGAGTGATGGCTGGTGAAGCTGGTGAAGCTGGTGAAGCTGGTGATAGTAAAGCCCGTCTATAATACAAACTATATCAAGAGAACAAACAAATGAACAAAGAAACAAACAAATAAACTGACACACATGTACAGTTTAATGGGTAAACTCTGCTAAAATATTTGTTGCGGGTGAGTAAACTTGCTGCGGTCCCGTAGAAACATACACTCAGCTGGGCTAACTGAATGACTAATGTAACCCCACGCCTGCTTCACTAGTAACGATATACGTGGAAAGGCGCAACCGCTACGCATGTTAACTACCTTCCCGCATGATCATTATACGATAGTACTATAGTGATAGTGACTTTGTACCAAGCATTTATAGTAACTACTAATAGGTTCATGCGTATATAAGTATCACTCAATTATTTGTAAAATAAGTCAAATGAATTCGCCCTGTTTTTCAGAAAGTGCTCCGATCACCTCGATGCAAAATACAGTCGATACTGATGGCCTTATTGGCAGCAATATTAATGACATCCGGGCAACCCATCACGCACCAGCTAGCGCCATCGTCAGTAACATCCCACGCCGACACGAAACCATTCAGTCAACTAACGCCGACATACGGCGACACGCGTGAACTGGAAAGCATTCCCCGCGAAATAGAGCAAAAAGGGAACGGAAACTCCCCGAGCAGCCATAACGGATGGCATAGCGCCGCTCTACCGCAACTAGATAGCGTTCTGCTATGGCGGCGATACTCCCGCCTCGTGGGAGACAGCGCGCTAGTAGGAGACAAAAGCGCAGTGATCTCAGCGCCGACAGCCGAGCAGCGATCAAGGACGAAACCGACTCACCGCCATCGGAAAAAGCGTTCGGCGGTCATTTGTTTCTTTCACTGCGCTGAATGTAACAAGATGTACGGAGCTGCCGCTTACAACGCCCCCAGGTGCGCCAGACACTGCACGCTAAGCGGCGGTAGAAGCGCCGACGTGGACTGCTCGAACGTCACCTTCTGGAATTAACGAAGCAACTGAAATCATTCCTTTACAAATGCGTTATGGATATCCCTGGCATAAACTGCTCGGCGATGTTAGCCATGTTTATATCATTTACATTCTCGGTTTATTTAAATATTTAATAATTATTTTAAGTTTTTTTTTATGTGCTAGTCACCGGTGTCTTACATTTTACGCTTCAACGTGTGTAGCACACGCCAGCGAGATGTTATTTTTGTACAGATAAAATCCGCAATGACCTTTTCCACGACTAGATTATTATGTAATTTATTGTTTATCGTCGGTTGACATTTCATGTTTATTACGTTCCGATGGCGTCAGTTACTACGAAATCTGTTCCTATTTCACAAATATGATGGGCTGCGGTGCAATCACCCACTTGACGCGCATCGATCTGCAGCGCATGGAATCAATCAACGACGGCGTGACGAGAAGACGGAACATGGAGCGACGCCTTGCGTCCTCTCTCTCCTGTTCTTCATCTGAACAGTGCGCGTTGAGGCGCACGTGGGCGGAAATCCGCGAGGCGCCAAAGCTGGGCATGTCACACCGCAGCAGTCACGTTCGTTTTTTATCGTCTGGGTTCTTACATTTACAGCGGTGTAGCCTAATATGTTTCGTTGTTATTTTGTCGCATTTTTCGAATAGAAATGAGAAAAAGCGTTTAATTTTGCATCACGTTTTTTCGTGTTCTTTCCTTGTTTGCGCTGCGAGAACGCTCGTGGCAACGCTATTCCTCGTCGCTGGTTAGAACAACCAGCCCATTGCTTTGCGGAATTGATCATATTACGCTGAGACTCGTTGCTCAAAACTTTATCGTTTTTGTCTGACACTAATGCCTTTCGTTATGCGTTGTATACCATATCTGAGACATTCCATGTACAAATGGCAGTCGTAGGCTATACAGTACTATAAGATGACCTGAACATGAGGCGCATGTTCGTGATCGGCAAGATTATAAAGCTAGTTATTTTTTATTATTCGTTGAATTTGACAAATAAAGCTATTGACACGGTGTGCCACTGACAGCTTCGATCACGTTTTACGTGTTTCTATTGTTCGAAAAAACCGCTCATAAATACTGTGCGACCATTGCCTATTGCACGCATTACCTAACAAATATCACACATACGTCTGTATTGTACGAGCGACTGTGAAGATATAATGATTTGCTTATCTAGTTATCATTAAAAATTACATAATTAAGGGGAGACTGATAACCAAGAAATCACAGTCGAAGAAATACACATTCGAGGTTAAGGGGTTCTTTCTAGATTATATCATAGAAGACCACCTAAGCGTCCTAAAGTATAAATAAACACAGACCTCCGCCAAGGCAGCTCAATTCTGTCACTGTGAACATTTTTATTAATTAATTAATTAAATAATTAATTGGATCCGGATGACGACCAAAATGTAATTGCAAGACCGGGGGTTGATTTGACCGTAATCCAATTTTTACTGTTTATTGTTGAATAAAAATAGAAAGAACATTTTTTAAAGCTAGATTATATACTACCAGTTTTTAAAAAGAGAGTGTTTATTAACATTCGTTGCATTTTGGTTATGTTTATTACGGTATTTTCGCAAGTTGTCGGCAAATGCCACGCTTTTTTAATCGCAAATAACTTTTAGTCAATCATGTCAGTTATTTATAATCACGATTGAAATAGACTTTAGGTACAATTACATTCCAACCGATCGCAGCAGTACATTTTAATTGCGAAAATACGGTACTAGCCAATCATATTATGAGACACTGCCGTTTCGTATACGCACAAAATCATTCCGCATGGATCCCCCATCAGATCCTCCGGGAATTTTGTTAACCAGACATCTTCCTAATATTAGCTGCATACTAGTTATAAACATCTTGCCCTTGTCCACATTTGCCCCAAGTTCAAAGAAACTTGAAAAGAAAAGAAGGTAATCTTTTTGATTGGTCGAAAATTTAGTAATAACGGAAATTTAAACGGAAGGAACGGAAGACTGCGATTAAAATGCACAACTCTGATTGAATAGAATTTCAGGTACTTGGACATGATGATTATAAATTATGTAGACTATGTAATCTACAAAGTAACTAAAAGTAGTAGTTAATTCTCAAATATTGCAATTTTGATTGATTTAATGATCAATATTAGTAGTGTGAATAAAAATTAAACTCGCCAGTTTTTAAACAGGAGTGTACTTATTTTACATCTACGCTGAGCATTAGATGATCGTATATAGCATATGCAGACACAATTTGTCCGTGGATAATACTGAAAGCTAGTTTACCGTTAAAAACATGAAGGTCGATAAATCCTTTATTTAGGAAACGGATACGAGGCGCAAATGTATGTCTTCCCAATTATAAGGATTTATTACGTTAATTATAACTTCGGGTAAAACGTGCACGTGCTCTGAAATAGATCGTCGTCACATTAATATGTGATGGGATTGTATATCATGTATTGTGATTCAAATTATTGTACGTCTTCTCAGATTATAATTAAACCAATAAATCATTATGTTGAACTATCGCATGACGTTTAGCGCGATCGCTTAGTATTACACTATAGCGTGCTTCCAAAGCCAGAAACCTTATTGAAACGCGAATGTGCTTCAGAATCACATTGTCGCGCGGCTAGATCAAATGCTAGCGAATGGATTAGACATGGCGATAATGGGAGCTGTTGATAATGAGATGTCCTCTGTACAAGAGTCTGAGACTTGTCTGGACCTTAATGCTATAGCGCTTCACTGCACCAAATGGTAAAATCGTGACTCTGAATTTATACGATATGTTTATGCTTTAAAGGTCTTGAATTTAAATTTAAATTAAACTAATTAGGTAAATACGTCTTCTCTGCAGGAAACACGTCGTGAGAACTGCGTGGATTCGTGACACAAAGACCGTGAGCGCAGTATAGATGTACTGGACTACAAAATATAGATTCGCATGAAATCTAAGCCATTTCAAAACAACGCTTAGCTGTTTGAATATTTGTCCCGTTTTGATGTTTGTCGTGTTGCAAATATTACGAGTATCATTCCAAAATATGCACACGACGTCGCCAGCAATGAAACCAACAGCTCGGTTGGCATCAAGTAGGATGCCAGCAAGTTGGTGGGCGAATATTCCTTAGCTCCTCATCGGCTAATATGTTCTGTATGGTTGAGACGACGCGTGTGAGACGTGTGGGAGAATAGCAACAATAGGAAGAGCGTCCAACATATAAAATCATTAAGAAATTGTCTGCTATCTACATTAGTATAATATAGGTATATAAGTATATGTAGTATATAAGTATTAAAGACGTGCTTCAACGTCAGTGCATATTATAAGTTGAAAACGTACAATGCGGCGGCAAACAACGAAAGAGGAATGAGTTACGTGTAATATCACCAGATAGAGGTCGAAAACGTTGAGATTTGAATACCATTCTTCCATCATGTTTAGGTACCTTTAACGGTTACCAAACACGCGCAACTAGCTCTAGATATATGCTAACCGTAATGAATAAATTGTGCCCTTTATCTATACGCTTTACAGTCACATAAAACTGTATTTTCATAGTATCTAAAACAACCCTGTATGATCTATCATGCTGATATAATATAATGATTTAACGTATAAAAATATCATGCTATTCTCGTGTGTAAATAGTCGGACAATCTATGTAAAAGATAGGAGAATGTGCGAAAATTCCAGCACAGGGCGATAGATCTATTGTTAACAAGGTAGCGTTGAATGTTTTTATGTATTATATAATTATAAAGCTATATTTTGTATATACTCTTTATTAAAAATATTATTAGTTGTAAACTATAAAAAGTTTAACAAGCTCCAAGAGCAATGAAAAATATGGAAAATTCTCTTAATCAAAAGGCAATAATCTGGTTCCTTGATTCAATGATACTATATAGTTGATAATATAATGTTCAAACACTTGGTACTTACTCTTCATTGGAAATATAAAGTTTCTTGTCATTTTATATTAATTTTGGTCTTTAATCGCAGTATTTTATATAGTACTTCGAATAATTAATGAGCCAAGTCTGAGAACTATTATTGAAACGATATTATAAAAAACGAAAACAACATAACTGTAAACATATGCGGGACTACGATTATTCCAGTTTGACTGTTATTTCGCAATTGAAAGACAGGCCACAATTCTTTAAGCGCGCACTAAAATGAAGCGTAAATTCACTAAGAATGAGTGCGTTGGCATTCAGTCGTGGGATGAATTCCTCTAATACCTCTGCTGCTCTATCGTACGTTGTAGTTCGTAATACTCGTGCATCGCGTCACGAAAGGACGTCATTCCGATTAACGCGCGCCCTTTCGGGATACATAGATGATAGTGGATATATATATATATATATATATATATATATATATATATATATACATACGCATATGTATATATATATATACGCATATGTATATATATATATACGCGTGCGAGCGCGGCGATGCTGTTTACGAGATTATGGCATCTGAAGCATTCGAGCGGAAACATATCTG